ATATCCGTGTGGCAGATTTAATGAATTCTGGTGGAAAAAGCTTTCCTCAAACTCATAATGATAATTACGCGGGATGACGTAGTCAGCCAGCGTCTAAAATTCGGTAGCGCATTCCTTTCGTCGTCTTGGGAGTCAAAAATTGCCTTGTTTTTTTAACTTTCCCGTATCCCGTGCCCGTCCCGAGAAATTGTGTGGATTTTTATTGGCCCCAATAAGCACGTGCAAGTCAGGCTGGATTGCACAAGCCGATAAAACATACTGCGTCAGCTAAGGAGGGAAAAGTAAGCTAACTGTGTAGAGGAGGACGAAGACTCAAGGCCGTGCTCTTAATACGGCACAAAACTTGGCCTCGGGCGACTGAAAATATTGTCTAGGTGGCCCAGCCGGGCGACTTGCTTGTGTTGGTTTCTTGTTTCTGATGAGTTACAGTCAAAAAGCTAAGAATGTCTAGAATTTATTACTTGCGAAATCGTAGCTCTCTCGGTGGCTTCGCGGCCTAAAAAGAACGCTCCTCTCGCTAAGAAACTCTTGAGGTCGACTCTGTAAGTAGCAATAAGTAGCATGTCTATCAAAAAGCTTTAGGAAAATGTTGTTAAATCGGGCAGCTGGCACGCGTTGATGTTCAGAGGTCGTTTCACGTGAATTCACATGTAACATAATCCTTGACTATGAACGTGACAAGCTGCACAGTTTTTGATAGTAACTGCTTTTCATAGTAACATTGAAATTTTTTCTTCAAATTAGGATTGTTCATTAGTTAGTTTTTCAAAACAAGTTGTTACTTTTGCTCTGACAGGCGTGAATTACGGTCGGCGATGCAAAACAATAGTTTTGTATTTTGAAAAATCGCTGAATAAACAAGGGCCAAGTCGCACTAGAGGGCAATTTCAGATTTGTTCTGGACAAATCCGACTTGAAATCGGCCAGTGACAAAAAAAATTGTCCGGAAAGCTACAGTCGCACTTAAGAACAAAATCTGTGAACACAACACCATGCTGTTTCCGCCTTGTGATTCTCGGCTTTCTAACTGATCATGCTTTTCAGCCCACATTTGAACTAAAAGCTTCTCCTCTTCTTTACTGCATCTGTCCTGAGCCCTCTTGTTCTAGACTGACGAAGATGCACGGCGCGAAGAAGATGGTCTTAGGGTTGATGCCAGCATTGAGCTATCTTCTCTGAACTGGAGAGATTCTGGCAACGAGTCAGTACTCGTGGTCGAGATGGGCTGGGATTTCCTCGTTCAACCAACATGTAAGGGTCTGGCAAAGGATAGATCCATCCTGGTGGATATTGTGGATATTAAATGACGGAAAAAATTGGTCCTCCGCTACGGGATTCATGTTGTTGCCAAATGAGAACGTTTTACAAAGAAGTCTATAGCATAGAGACTCTGCTACGTATCACCTGTCAAATCATTTCCGAATTAAAACACCCGCGCTATTGTTATTCAAAATTTGTCTCAATTTGGCCTGCTCCAGAGGTAGTCGACGGCATCTTTGAAGTTTGTCCGTCTGCGACCAAATTTTGTCCTTTGGTGAACAAACCGGTCGCACTTGGTTTTTTATTGTGATGACAGATTTTCGACATAAATAAACAGTTTTGTCCTCTAGTGCGACTTGGCCCCAAGGGAGTCTTCTATGTTCTTTAAATATTTTTACCTTTTTTGACTGCTGTTTCTGCGAGGATAAAACATAACTAAGATTGTTATTCCAAAACAAGAAGACGAAAGAAAAGAGACGACTATTATAATTGTGATTGTTCTAGAATCGGGTGTAAAGGGGGTATAAATCTATAAAATCCCGCATTGTCTTTCGTGTCGTGACAAGGCATTATGTATCACGTACTAAAAAAAATAAATACGCTAAAAAGCTAACCGAATCTACATTTGTCCTGAACATTTCACCGATAATATAGAAAGAAAATACTTCTGTTTTTGCGCTTAAAAAGACGACTTTACAACAAGATGATCTATTCAAAAGAGATAATAGTTTTGGGGCGGCCCCGGTGGGGGGGGGGCACTTCCTTATAAAGAGGCTAATAGGGATGTGCCGCTGGATGGGGTCGCATTTTCACGACTAGATTGAACATTAATGGGGTTGCATTTTCAAAAGAGTTACTAGAATGGGGTCGCACATTTTCGGATTTTTGGGGTAAGAGAGCTGTTCATATTTACGGTTAGCAAACCTATCAGGATATTTGTACTGTAGGTGAAAAGTAAAGTGTTCTTCATTCAATTTATTAAAAAAATAGGTCAATTCATTTCTTGATGACCTATTTAAAGGATTGATAAGGTAGATACACAAATAGAAAGTGACTAACTTGGGATCGCAAAAATTACATATTTCCCCAAGAGTGACTAATATGGGGTCTACAATATTGGCCACAGAAAAGACTATAATGGGGTAGGGGTTCTGAGAGGCCAGCGGCACATACCCAGCAAAAATTAACATAAGTAACTGGGGCGATTTCGTTGAAATCATAACAGTTTTCCTGGAAAGCTCCACGCGATCTCAGTCAATCTTAACAAGCAAATTTTCTTTTCAACCTAAACAGGAGCTCCTGACCTAAATCAAAATGATTAATAAAAAGAATAGTGCCCTTATTTTTGACCCCAAATTTATTTTTCTATTTAAAAAACATGAAATGTTCGTGGCGTTGTCCATGTTTCTCATATGGGCGAAAACTTACTTTCATATGACAACATGCGGGTTTTTTTTTTTTCGCACGCTCAGGAGGTCAAAGGGATGTGATTTTTCATGAAAAAAATGTTCACAAAATTCTGCTTGACTTGTTAAGAAAATAATTTGTTTAATGTTTAATAATTAACTAACAGCTCATTGATTTATTAATTTGAGCGATCAACTTAGAGGCCCGGGTACCCCAGCTAAAAATGCTTGGGGAGCCTAAAGGGCTCTCTGAAATTTTCCCTAGAGCACTTCCTTGCAGCCCTGTAGTTATTGGAAGTATGATACATTACACGCTATTGTTAAATGTGGAAGTGCATTTTTTGAGGACATTAGTAAAGGAATGCAAATTTTAGTGAACTACCCCATACTCCTAACATATATGGTGGTAATATTGATGTAAGTTTTGTTTTGAGTAGCAAAGGAACCCTTGTGTGTAACTCATCTTCTAGTGTATTAGTCCTTAACAGAACATCTCCGTCTCTCCTGCACACATTTGTTGCATACACTACTCAACTTCCATTTCCATCCAACATACCCGTAATTCTTTCTGAAACCCACACATCCCGCGTAAGCGCCTTCGGGCGTCTTCTTGTTCAAAATTAAATGGAGGTATGTCTCCTGAGAATGCTGTTAGTCATGATTTACCATGGGATTGTTTAACTGAAAGGCTTCGTCTCATAGGACTTATACCACATGATGTAGGTGGATTTGGGGATTGTTTCTTTAAATCAGTTTCGCACCAACTGTATAGGACTGCTGACTTGCATCTTGAAATTCGTATGGCTGGAATTGGCCATTTACAGAGTTACCCAGAATTGTATATTGAAAGCATTTCTAATGATCACTGGAATAACTATATTCAACAAATGTCAAAACAAGGCACATGGTGTGATAACATCATAATGCAAGCTGTGGCCAATGCATACAACTGTGTCATTCATATCACACAGTCTAATATAAATTCACCTGAAAGTACAATCTTAACTCCTGTTGCTGATCAGGATGGACGAAAGACAATATTTATTGGATATATTAACGAGTTGTATGATGTTTCAACATTGACTGACAAAAACAGTAGATATAAAAACAAACTCACATGCATAAAGAGAAAATTATCAGAAACCAATGAAAACAGACATGGTAGACTTCTTAAGCACAGAAATTACATGAAAAGAGTCAAATATACAGAAACAGCTAATGAAAGGGCAAGCAGACTTGAAGATAAGAGAGGCACTTATAGAAAAACAATGTCTGAAGAAACTGCTGAAAAGCGAAAAGAGAGACTTAGAAATAAGAGAGACACTTATAGAAAAAGAGTGTCTGAAGAAACTGTTGAAAAGCAAAAAGAGAGACTAAAAAGTTACAAAGACTCTTATAGAAAAAGAACGTCTGAAGAAACTGTTGAAAAGCGAAAAGAGAGACTTGCAAATAGGAGAGCCAGTTATAAAAGGTCTCAAACAATTTCTGCAGGACAAAAAAGAGAGCTCTGCTGGTCCAGTTCACGAACAAAAACATGCACAAAATAACATGAACGATTTTCATAAGTCCAATCAGTATTCAGTTTGCCAATGCACTGTCTGTTTTGAAGCATGGCCATTGAAATCCAGTCCAAGGAAGGTTGATCACTACCAGTGTCAGAGGTGCATACGAGATAAACAACAACCAAAAAAAAGTTTTCTAAGGAAAATGACATGGTGCCATCATTAGTACCTTTACAACTGCAGGGGTTAACCCAAGTAGAAGAAATGCTTATTGCACGTGCACTTCCTGTTATGCGAGTTTACATAAAACCTGGTGGACAAAGGGGCTATTCAGGCCACTGTATCAATTTGCCTCAGGATATAGCTGAACTAGCACATTCTCTGCCTAGATACCCAAAAAAGATCTATCTGTTATTGTTGTTAAGATGAAAGGTAAAGAGAACAGTTTTAAAGATGTGACAGTGCGAAGGCAAAATGTAGCTGATGCACTACAATGGCTTGTTAATAATAACTCACACTACAAGGACATAACCATCAATCAAAATTCTTTAAATTCTTTACCAGAACATGGTGTTCCACATGGTCTTCTCTCGGTTGAAACAGAGAATATAGATTTGGATGCCACATGTGAACCTGACTTAGGTCCTCAAAATGAAGATGACATTGTTTATAATGAGGGTACTGAAATGAGTAGTTTTCTGCCTATTCCAGAGTGTCAGCAGCAAGAAATAGAAGCTGTGCGCCAACAATTGTCTAATGATTCTAATCACTTGCCCTGGCCAACAGTTGGCAGTGAACCATTAAACAGTATGTAACTCCCTTTTTAGCAACAATGGCTTTCCCAACATTATTTCCAGATGGTAAGGGTGATCCTACTAACCCATCATTACGCCGAGATATACCACTCGGAGAAAGAGTAAAGCACCTTTTAAAGTTTGGAGAAAACAAGAATGACAAATGGGTATATCGCTTTGCTACTCACCCCAGATTTGGTTACTGGGCATTGAATATGATACAAAGAAAACGTATTCTGCAACAGACAGGCATGTTCCTAAAACAAAACCCAGGAGAAGCTCATTTGACTGCTGAAGAGCTGCGGCAAATGGCAACTAGCAATAACACAAGTATGTTTATATCTAAGATATCACGCTATCTTAGTAACATTACTGGTTCTAATGCTTATTGGCACAAAGCTAAAGAAGATTTAAAAGCAATAATAGCCCATGCTGGAGCTCCAACATTCTTTTTCACATTCTCCTCTGCTGATATGCATTGGCCTGAACTTCATGCAATTTTGGCAACTCAGTCAGTAATAATTCAACTGACAACAAACGGCAGAATGTGATTAACAATCCTCATATTACAGACTGGTTCTTTACACAGCGTTTAGAAAGTTTTATTAAATACTGGTTATACAATTCACTAGATGCTGAGTGGCACTGGTACAGATTTGAATATCAAGCTAGAGGTAGTATACATTGTCATGGTGTAGCAAAGCTGAAAAATGATCCAGGTTTATGTAAACTCTCAGAAACAGCTCTAAAAGGCTATTTGGCTGAAATGTCCACTAATACAGCTGAGCAAGTCAATATACTAGAACTCAATCAACAGATAGTGGATGGGAAAAAGGCTTCCCAGGTAGTTTGTCAGTATGTAGATTGGTTATTGTCTACATATAATCCAGATCCACCAGATAATGGCACATGGGTGAAGCCCTCTATTCATCCTTGTCAAAAGCGTCACAAGGACCTTGTAAGTTTACAAGACTCTGAACAAGATTATGTTGATTTGTTGAATACTGTACAAAGGCACACTCGCTGTAGTACAAACTATTGTCTTAGAAAGAAACAAAACGAAACAGAACTGAAATGTAGATTTAAGTTTCCATTTGAACCTTGTGTTAATACAAAACTAGAGTTTGAGCCCATTCATACAAAAGATGGAAGCACTCAATACAAAGCAAAGATCATAACAAAGAGGAATGATAGCAGACTCAATAATCACCAACGACTTCAGCTTCAAGGCTGGAGAGCAAACTGTGATATTCAAGTGATCATTGATTATCATGCATGTGTTGAATACCTTGCAAAATATGCTTCAAAAGGTGAACCAAAGTCACCTGTAATGAAACTTGCATTTAATTCTATTGTCCGTAATTGCAACAACAATAGCAACCCTACAAAATTGATAAAAAAAGTGATAATGAAGTCACTTGGCCAACGTGACTTCTCTGCACAAGAGACTATGCATCATCTCATGTCACTGAAACTTGTCAGCTCATCATTTAATGTGGTACCTATTAGTCTAAATGGTTCACGAGAATCAAAACTATAACAAATGATGGAGATACTGTAACCAATGACTCATTGCTTGATACTTACGCTAAAAGGGAAAAATATATTCAAACCATCCCAGATATAATGGCTCTTAATTTCATTCATTTTGCAACAAAATACAAACTTGTCAACAACAAACTAACAGTTCAGCCTCATAACATGATTCCCAGAGTTTTTCCAGTATTTTCTTCCAATTCAAAAGGTCCAAATTTTGGACTTTATTGCAAATATCAGTTACTTAAGCACAAACCTTGGCATACTACACAAGACAATGCCTGGGATTGTCAGGAAGGCACTGATGAAATATACATCACAAAATGGAAGGAATTTCTACAAACACCATATGCTGAAGAGCATGTTCCTGACTGGTATGAAAAACTACAAAGTGTACAGAATAACACAGAAGAGGAACCAAATATAGAGCACTCTTCAGAGGAGCTTCCACAGCGTGAAGAGTGGATGGATTTAGCAGATCTCATACCTGGGTATTTTGTTAACCAAGATAATATAACACAACAAACCTCTCAGCCTGATTATGACTGGCAAAATGACAAGATTAAGTATGCAAATCACTTAATACAGGAAATGCCATCCTGGATAAAAACTAAGAAAGATACTTTGGATTCTACCTTTGGTTTGCAACAACAAAATATTGATGTTAATACATTCAGTGACATGCAAAGACATGCCTACAATATGGTGAAAGCACATTCTGAACAAGCCTGCCCTAAAGATCCATTGCTTCTTATTATACTTGGAGTTGCGGTACAGGGAAAAGTTACCTCATTAATGCCATCCGAAACCTGCTCCAACACTCTTGTGCAGTGACTGCCACAACTGGCAAAGCTTCATTTAACATAAACGGATGTACAATCCATTCACTATTAAAATTGCCTGTTGGCCCAAGACATAACAAAGAATTAACAGGACAAGGGCTTGTCACATTACAAACCAAGCTGAAAGATCTCAGTTATATCCTAATTGATGAATACTCTATGCTAGGACAAACATTGTTTGGCTGGATTGATAGACGCTGCCGACAAGCAACAGGCAAAAATGACGAAGTATTTGGTGGTAAATCCATGATATTAGTTGGTGACCCAGCTCAATTGCCTCCAGTGGCAGATAAGCCATTATATCATTCGAGACCCTCCAGTTCTACAGGTGAACAAGGCTATTTAGCTTATCACATGTTTGGCAATGTTGTAAAACTGTCAGTAAACCAGAGGGTTCAAGGCTTAAATCAACAGCAAGCTCAGTTTAGAGATTTACTCATACGCCTTCGCACAGGAGATTCTAATGAGCAAGATTGGAAACTTCTTTTGGCAAGACAGCCTTCCATAGCATTGAACGTGAATGAGTTTCAAGATGTCACTAGGCTCTATTTCAGCAATGAAGAAGTTGCTAATTATAACTTTGAACAGTTATCAGAACTTCATCAGCCAATAGCCTGCATCACTGCACGTCACTCTAGTGATATAGCTAAGAAAGCAAGTTCGGATGACATGTCAGGTTTACAACCGACCATTTTCCTTGCAAAAGGTGCACATGTAATGCTTACCATGAACCTATGGATAGATGTTGGACTTTGTAACGGTGCAACTGGAACGGTTGAAGATTTCATTTATGCAAACAACCAGCAACCACCAGACTTGCCTGTCGCTGTCATAGTAAAATTTAATGAGTATAGAGGTCCATCTATCAGTGATAGCATTCCACGATGTGTGCCTATATGCCCAATAACAATAACCTCACAGACACTAGATGGTTTACATGAGAGACAACAGTTGCCTCTCAAACTTGCTTGGGCAATCACAATACACAAGAGCCAAGGGTTAACACTGCCAAAAGCATGGATTGACATTGGTCAGACTGAAACTACTGCAGGCATTTCATATGTAGCTATAAGCAGAGTGAAAACACTTTCATCTTGTATTATTGAACCAATGACTTTTGAGAGACTTAAGAGTCTTAAGAAATCCACTAATTTAAAATATAGACTTGAAGAAGAAAGCAGGCTATATAATCTAGCAAATATAAATTGATCCCAAGTTGAGTGATGCGAACAAAGTCACTCACAACAGTACAGCACCCAAAATTGATTAATTAGAATAAATTGATTATACGGCCTTCAACACATGCATACATAAATGATTTTTTTTTATGGTTATAAATAGTTCACTTTCCAACTACATTTAAAGCAAAGTTCCATGTAATGTTTCAGAGTGTTGTATTAACTAGGGTTTAAAGGTATTTTAAACACCCTCCTAAAACATCTGTATACATCCTTAATTTTTTTTTTTCAACAGACAAGACAGAGATCTAATATGGCTTCAGGTATGTATCTCCCGGTCATACTTAAATATTATGGTTATACGTTCCTTTCTTCTATTAAACTAATGCTTCTTGTTTTAAAATCATTTTATAACCTTACCTGCTCTATATGCTCTCATTAATAAAACATATTATTTTGAACATCTAGGTATTAGATGTACACTGTTTCCTATCACTTTTGTCACCCTTTAACCCATTCGCTCCTGGAGATTTTGCCGAAAAACGCGTTTTGAAGCTAGTCGAGTGGTTTTCTGGTCACTGTCGTGCTATAAAGAGCTAAAACTTACCACAAACCGGTTTACAGGTCGTACACTTGGCGGCCTTCTGATCCAGATGCAAAATATCAGCTTGCGAAGTTCGGGCATGCGCAGAAAGCAAAATTTCGACATGGGTTTAAAAGTGACACACAGTCTTGACTTTTACTTTTCGCTTTCTCTCCTCCCTTCTTTTTTCGCTTTTCTTGCCTCATTTTTTTTTCTCTTGCTGGGCATTTAGTAGGCTTCATTTTGGTGGGAAGAGTTTTTAGGAAAGCTTTTAGGATCTTAGGATTAGGTGAAAGGAAAGGTAGGTGGGTAATGGAACAAGATTTTCATGGAGATTTTCAGGTCCTTGTCACGTGGTTTTTTTGCTTCTTTCTCCGGTGTCCTTGACTGAATTGTGCTCATTCTGGTATGGTTTGAAAGATCTCTTCACTCTGCACACGTGTGCGAAGAAAGTTGTCCTTGACCGTTAAAACTGATGACGTCACAAAGGGTAGAAAGGACCTGGATCCGCACGGGCGGTTACGGGCGGTTCAGGGGCGAATGGGTTAATGTTCTCATGTAGTTATATGATACAATTTATTTTTCCCACACCTCTTGCATGTTGGTGGCGAACTTTGGCCAAAATATCACTGTTATTTGTACTAAAAATAATCTTAATTACAGTAATTAATGAGTGGTGAACTGCTCCTGTTTTGCTAAATTTTAACACTTCCCCTTCTATTAAGCCCTTCCTTTCTATTTAGCCCCCAATGCGCCTTAAAACAATAAGCCCCCTGGGGGCTTAATAGAGGATTTACAGTACATGAAACAAGGAGACTAATATTTACACATATGTTTTTTTCAAATAACACAAGCTACCTTATGCAGTAATCCCATCCATGCCAAATTTATTACATTAATCTAAATATCTTTTTACCTCCTCCTACAGAAAAACAAGACATAACTTGCTTTGTGCATAATGTCTCACCAGTAAAAAAATCTGGACCAACAAGCTACTTTAACTGCCACCTTCAGACAGAGAAAGATCTCATTGGCAGTGTATGCTTTGCAACTGAAAAGAAGGAAACTCTTGATGCAATGGCCGCACAAAGATCACCGGTTAAAATTTCAAATTTTAACATCAGCAATAAGTATGGACGAAGTGATGTAGTAATAAACAGGAACACAACCATCACTTCAACAACAGCTGATTTTCCATACAAAGCACAAGATGATGTCACATCAATTGCATCCTTGTCAAAAGTAGCACCACAACAGCTAGTGTCAATAAAAGGAAAGATATCACATCTAAGTGCGACCTAAACTATAGTCATCCAAGATTCTCCTGTCAAAAAACAGGAAGGCTATATAGTTGATCCATCTGGTTACATAAAAGTTATTTTCTGGGGTGAGCATGTTGACAGCGTCACACCACAGTCCACCTATTTCTTCAACAACTTGAGAATGAAAGTATCTCAGAATCAAAGATACTTGAACACACCAAAACAAGATAATTTATACACCATCAAGGACGCTGAACCCTTCAAACAAACATTACCTGAAGTCAGTGACATCTCAACAACAACAGAAACCATCGGAGAAATACTAGGAATAAACAGTGTCACCAAATACAACTGTTGTTGTTCATGTTCAAAAAAAGTTACAATCAAGGGAAAAATTGCAGTCTGCGATAACTGCAAAGTAACACAAAAGGCAACCAGCTGCAGTGTAAAGTGGACACTCAAGATCCATATCCAAAACTCCAAACAACCACTGCAGAAGCTTCAGCTACAGGTTTATCAAGAAGCAGTGCCAAAGTTGTTTTCAATTTGTCACTAAATTGCAAATGAAACAACAGAGGAGGAAATCACAGAGGCTGTCTTAAACCTAGACACAGTTTAAGTATGCTTTGACACGCAAACGCGAAAACTTGTGGACATTGAAAAAATTGCCATTTAACATGTTTTGTTGCATTTTCCCTTGTAACAAACCAATCTCTAGTAACTATTTAAGTTACTAATAATTCATGCTATGAGATACAAACACTAAAACTTTTAGATATCGCAAAAACTTTTATAGCACTTAATTTTTGAATTTCATATTAAACTTTCTTGAAACTATTCCATTTACTATTATTCATGTTACTGTTAGAAAAATTAGTCTCGCTCATTTAGTATCTGAACTACATTGTAAATGAGTAGATTCTCATGTTTTAATTATTGCATTTTACCTTGTGACTAATCGAGTTAGTATCATCCAGGGCCCAGTTGTTCAAAAAAAGACGATTACTGCTAACCCACGATTAAAGCTTAATCAAAGATTTAATCTCTTTTGTTTAAAAAGATTTCAAAAGCTAATTATAAGCTGCACATGAAGTCAAATCGAAAAATAAAACTAAAGAGCAAGAATCCTTAAGAAAATC